GCAGAGTCACAATTGGCTTGTGGTGGAGTATAAGATGGGCATAGTATTTGCTTCACTGAAACAGATGTTAGTTTATATTAGCCCAACAAAAACATCGAAAAACATGCATTGTGAATCATAAATCAAAATTCCTTTTAAAAAAATTAACAATATGTTACTATCAGGTATTTAGTATTACCTGGGGCTATAGAAAAGCTGCCAAGAAATTAAGCATATTTTAACCATTATTAAAAGTAACAAAAAAGGGGCATGATTTCTATTTAGTCACTAATTACTAAAGTGAGAAAACTGCAGCTAACAATAATAGATAGTATTTATTACAGATTTATTATGTTCTAGTACTTTTCAAAGTGCTTCATATGAACTGATTCACATAATTCTCCAAGGCGACTCCTCCCATGTCGCCATTTTACATTTTAGAAAAGATGGGAAGTAAAGACACTGGCCCATCCCTAGTGAGATGAGGAAGAACATGTTTGCAGGACGTCTGCTTCCAAAGAGCACACTCTCATGGTTGTGAGGACGGCACACTTGCTTTAGCTTTCTTTATCATCTGGGAAGGTGTTTCAATACTAGTGATTTCTATATTAGCATTAAGGGAGACACAAATTACTTGTGTATAATTCTATCATCAAAAGGCAACTTCTTATAGAAATAAAGTTCTTCAGCAATGTTTTAAGATGCTAAAAATTTTTTACATACCTGCCATAACCATGGAAAAATATAATCTCATGAGAGATTTTGATGGAGTTTACATTCTGGCTGTATGCATGGCCCACTTCCCTGAGGTATTTTCTAAGTTCTCTGAAGGGCACTATTTGTTTCAGCAATGTGAATTCCTTACTTTATGTTTCCACCTTTAGGTAGAATTCACCCCTTTAACACAGCACTGATGAGGGCTAGCATTTCACTAATAAAATTAGAGTTTAAAAGTTTAATGTTCACAAGACCAACATTTTTTACCATTGAAAGAAATGAAAAGCAGTTTTACACTGGAATATTTTAACTGTTTATTGAATTCAGCATTGGTACTCCAAATTTACTAGTCTTAAAAAGTATTTACTAGTCTCAAGTTTTCTACTGACAAACATTCTCTCTAGTTGACAGCTCTGTTCAGGCATCATGATTTTGCCCTGTTACCTAGCTAACTAAAGTCAGACTTTAGACAATGTTAAAAATAATTCACTGACAGAATGTGCAAAAGAAAGCAGTAAAGGGGCTCTCAATTTACTTGGTCTCGATCTCCCTATAGTAATTTTCTACAAAACAATCAAATGCTTTTCTGTGTGGTACTTTGAAATTATTAGAACTATTAACAAAAACATGATGTATAACAATGTAAGTTTACCTACAAATACTGAATATAAAACTGAAATTTTTATTTACAATATAGTATTTGAAATAATTATCTGCTGGCTTGAATAATTTAAAAATTATGTAGTTTCAGGCAAATAGTTTTTTAATTCAGTTTCAGTTCCTTTATAAAGAAAACAACTATATTTGTATAAAGATGTTTTAAGTCTAAAACAAATAATGCACATAATAAACTTCACACATAGCACCCATAAATTTTAACAAATGTTAATTAAATAGTATTATGGCTACTTATCGGCAAGTACTCAACAGGGACTGTGATGAGGTTGAGAATAGCACAAAATTAAAGGCTTAGATTTCCGAACCCCAGCTGTGCTGCCTTTTTGTGCACTGACAAAATTATTTGCCTTTTCCAAAAAGTTTCTGTTTTCCCTTCTGTAAAAGGAGAGGAATGCACAGAAGAGATGCTGTGAGAGAAAAGGCCTAACACTGACACAGTAAATGATACCATTATTAGAACCAAAAAGCTATCATTATGGTCAGTCACCTCCATTCTGAATTTCTGCCTGAATTAACTCCTGTTTCAGATCTTCAATTTCTTTCTTCAGTTTAGCATTTTCAACTCGAAGTTTTTTCTCTTCTCGTAATGTTGCCTGTAAAACTAGGGTCAGGAAAATACAGTTAAAACATGTGTGTTTTTAAAGGTTTCTTTTTTAGTATTATTTGTAAAGAGAGTAACCTCTCTGCTATAGCTAGGACAACACTAAGAACCAAAAATTTGGCCAGCTCATTCATGCTAGTTTAATGTTTATTAAAACAACATGACTCGAGAGGCTGAGACAGGAGGATTATAAGTTTCAGGCCAGCCTGGCCAGCTTAATGAGATACATAAAAAATAAAGAGTCAGAGAAGTAGATCATTGGTAGAGCACACTGAATTTGATTTCCAGAACTATAAATTCCACAAAACTAGATTCAATCCTGAAGAGTAGAATTCAGGTTAGATTTTTTTATATACATAATTCTGCAATTCTTAAGTAAAACTTAAGAGAATCCACTGCAAAGAGTGACATGAAAGTATGTATCCTCTCCCGTGTAATACAGGATATATTTGATTTCATATTTGATCTGACCCAGTTTTCTTCATGTTACCTCTAATGCCATCCCAACTAATTTTAAAAAACATAATCTTCACCCAGCACTCTTAAAATAACTATGTATTTTATACTACCATTACCAATTCTAGTTATTGTAAAACTAGCGTAATATTATAGTTGAATACTAAAGACACCTACAAGCTCTCATCGAAGTTTATGGTAAACTTTTTCCCCTTGCAACATATGAATTCAATTTCTCCAGAAAACTTTAAATTTTCTTACTTGCTTTCTCCTTCAGAAGAGCAACTTGCTGTTTAAGATATTCAATAATTTGATCTGCCTCTGCACCCTTCTGCTCCAGTCTCTTCAGAACTGCCTCACTGGTGGTCATTTTTGTCAATAAACGACAGAAAATCCTAAATGCAAAAATAAAAGTGATGTGTTAAGAGTACAAGGAATAAATCTACTCCATGGGACATGTTTTCTGATGTAACTGATCAATATCTTAGAAAAACATTTTCCTACAAAAAGCAACAAACTAAACAAGGCAGAAAGGTTAAGGATACCAATCCCCCAAATAATATTTACAAGTAGAAATCTGCTTTGCTCCTAAATGCAGGAAAAATGCTATTCAATCACATTTAAGGTTCCAAATTTTAAAGCCCTAAAATACTAATAAGTATTACAACATAAGACCTATACCTTAAAGGAAAAAATGGTAATAGTAATATAAACTTAACTAAGTTAATGAACATCATACCTGTGCTCTAAAGTCAAGCGTTCCTGAATTCCCTCCTTACAAAGTACTTGTTTTTCTTTTCTGCAGTATTTGAGATTGAGCCCAGGCCCAGCGTACAACAGACAAGTGCTTTACAACTGAGCTACATCCCCAGCCCTTTACATAATACTTCTGTATACTGAATATTTCTGTTTATTGAAATATGTACAACTTGTAGGAGGAATGTGTGAAGAGTGAAATATTAAAAGAAAAAAATCAACAATTAGAAAGACATTATTAATCTTATGCCTATTTGAAAGTAATATCAGTATATATGATGTAGCGTTAATTAAAATTTTTAGAATTTTAGTTTTATAATAAATTCAAATTATTTATTTAAAAATCCTGTCAAGGTACAGAAAAATGCACATACAAACATTCTGAGATTAATTCATCATGTTAAAGTTTAAGCTGCCACATACTAAGATAAAACTGACAAGAGAGGGCTAGTCATTGGGAACACTGTAACTGTATGTTTTACCTGATTTAATACCAATTTATACTTTAAAATGTAACAGTGACATAAGAATTGCTGAAATAATCCTTGTTTCAAGTAAATGAAAGTGCTCTGGATAAATCCTAAACTTTTTGATTAAAAATTTGGCAGTGGTCAAACAACACAAGGTTGTTTTATAACTTCATATTGTCATACAATTTCCATCTTATACAAAAAATATTCTGTAAGTTTATCCCTTTTTAGAAAAAAACAAAACCTGAAAATACTTCATCCTAGAGTTGACGATATGTGACAGACACAATACCAAAGCAAAATGAAATCCTACAAAAACAAAGTTGCTAGTAAATGAAGAAAATTTAAACAGGGAAGTTAGCTAGTAAGGCCCTAGCAGAGTGCACGTGTACTACATGGACTATTACTTTAATTTGGAGTGAAATTATCACCTTAAAATTCTGCCATTTTCCACAAAGTGGTCAGAATTACCATGTTTCTCAAATTACTGCAAAGTCTGAATTTTAAAAGAAAAATATAAAAGGCTATATGAAGAAATTTAAAATAAAAATACTATGCTTTTTTGAATTTTAGTATGCTGAATCATAGCAATTCTTAGTTTGATGCCTATTTTAATGTAACAAAAATAATGAACAAATGTATTCAATACATGAAATATACATAGTACAAACAAGCAGTAATGAGTAAGAATATGAAGTTAGAAATACACTTTAGAAAAATACAATCTGCAAAGGTCTGGCTTATAAAATGCTATTCAAATTTCAAAATAAACTAGTATTTCAAGAGTTAGGAAATAAATAAAGTATAGAACGGTTTTCATAAGTGAGCCAACATCCCTAATAAGTCACCACAAATACAAACCAGCCAACAGCCGAGGATGTAGAACATGAGACGTATGCTCTGACTCAAATCGTTTAAAATCTTCTAAGACTAACACTAATTTGCAAAACAGAGATCATAAATCCTAGCCTACGAAGAAAAACAGGATATACAATTTTACTACACTGATAAATCAACTATTTGGAAAGCAGTTTAGTTATAAAACTGAGTTAAATATAATGGACGTTTGCAATTTGGTATACATGGAAGTACAGGAGTAGGTTTCGGAAGATAGCACACCATGTAGCAAAACACAGAAAGGAATGAGCTGAACACAGGGACAAAATGACACAACTAGGAAGAAGAAACAAGGCAACAAGGAGAATTAATAACACTTCCAATGAAACTGACAGATATATAAATGAGAAATCTGAATAATCCTTAGTCCTTATTATCTAAATGGGTTAACAGATCAGGAAGTATAAAGCGCCAAAACCAGTTTTTGCGAAGCTAAAGTACAATGACCACAAACTGAAAACACAAAAGGGTCACACTTAAGACCAGGTGACAACCGCTGATTGACACAGTTTGAAGTTTAACAACCACACAGCTACTCAATTTAGTTTGGGCATTTCTATAAGTAAACTATATGAAAGTTTTTAAAAGTTAAAATATGTCCAATGATACACTTTCATACAAAAGGTAATGACCGAGGAAGGGTTAAGTCAATTGTGTACATCTCTCACTCTCCTGTAATTCAAAACGGCATGTGAAACACGAGAAGCACAGTAAAATCAACTTGGATAATTTCGATGCTTTTCAATATTGTAAGCTAATGATATGCTATATATAACTGTATATTTCTTGTACTTAACTAATTATAACAAATGCATTACAAAATAAGTACAACTTGCATACCTGGTTGTAAGTTTACAAATGCTTGCTTAAGGGAAGGTCTAGCTTTAAACTGTGAATTGGCAAATAAAAGTAGGACTGAGAAATGTATATGACCTGTAATACTCGGCAAAAATGGGCTCTTTACCAAGTAATTAGATTAAAAGAAATGAGAATTAAAGATGGAAAAAGAGAAAGCATGTCAATAACAAAAAACTATTACCGGAAAACACACATTTAGGCCATGAAGTGTTAAAATACAGAGGAATAACAGTGATACTACTTGCTTACTCAGATAGAAGATAATTACAGAAACCAGTAGAAGCTATCATAAATTTTATGGTAGATATTAGATAATAATATCTACGGTTTACTTTGTTTTCAGTATGTTACATCCTTTTTCAAACACTCAGACAATAACTTATTTATTTCAACACCGGGAAGTACATACTATTAGTGCCCCTTCTTACACAGGCATTGGCAATCTACTCTAAGAGTGATAAAATTAACACAGGTAATCACAGAGACCCTGGATCAAATTCTATCCCTTGACTCTCTGCCACTTAACATGATGACCACGAACAAGTTAGTTAACCTCTCTGAGCCTTAGTTTTCTCATTTACAAAATGAGGGCACCTTTACATATCTCATTGGCTTGATGAGGGGCAGAATGCTATACTTTACCTAACGATTAAGATTTTAGCACTTATAGACACGTGGTAGATAGCTTACCATAGGTCAGGCCCTGAGCAAAATTTCTGAAAAACAAAAAGCAGGTACACATGTAGCTTTACCTTCAAGAAGCTCACTGTACAGTAGGTTAACTGATGTCATTATAGTTTCTCAGTTCCTAGTTATGACTTCTACATCTTCTGAAGGGTTAAGGACATAGCAAATAACAAAAAATACAACCATACTTACCAATATTCTTAGATAATTTGGTTATATTACATGTCAATTTGTCAGTAGTATACTGTCTGTGAGAGTGACATTAATATAGTTTCATTAATTCTGAATTTTATAACAGTGAGCAAAATATACCTAAGGACTCTTATCCTTGACAACACCATAAGACAACAGCCAACTAAAAGATCTTTGTAATCGCTTCTCGGCCTTTTGGCTAAGATCAAGTGAAGATCTTTGTACATTTACCCCTACCAATAGTTACTGCCAGCAGAACTGTGGAAATGACCATGATAACAGACTTGAGAGTTGTAAATTATACACATAAAAGGAAACTCAACAGAATTAAATGGAATAAAGCACATTTAAACTTAAATTCTCTCTGAAGGTCTTCTAAGGAGACCCATGACAACTGCCAGATATAGCTCAGGAGGCAAAACAATCCACGACAAACAATATATAGAATTTTGCCAAAGGCAAAATTAGTCAAGAATATCTAAAGAAAAACTGGTTTTTTGAGAATGCTATAAAACTCCCTGGTTTCAGGGAATGGGAAGAAAAAAAAAAGAACAAAAATTCACTGAATGCTTTCTGTTCAACTTTGCTGCAAATCTAAAACTTCTCTAAAATATAAATTTATTAAAGTTAAAACTCAAGGCTGGAAAGGGTAAGGGAAAAAGAATAAGTTTGGTTGATTAATGGATACAAAATTATACAGAGAACAATAAGTTCTAGTATTCTATAGTACAGTAGGGTAATTATAATTAAAATAATTTACCATATTTTGAAATAGACAAGAGGGTTCTAAGTGTTTTTACTACAAAAAAAAAAAAGATAAACGTTTGAGGCTAATTACTTTGAGTTGATCATCATAATAGCGTACAAATATCAAAATATCACATTTTAGCCCATAACATGCACTATTTGCATGTGTTAATAATAACAAAAAAACAACTTCTTTGGGAAAAAAATTCACCAAATCCCAAAAATGTATGAATATGAAAGTATATAAGTCTGAAATTTGAGAAAATGCTTTTCATTCTAATTACTCATTGGTAGGCAATAATTATTAGTTTCCCAACAGTGTCCATAAGTCATCATCCATGATAAATATGGTATAGTGATGTATTAGGTTACTTTAAATAATTTTAACTGACCCAATATATCAACAATTCCAGGATAGAGGAAACCTCATTAACAAAAGAATAAATATCTCTTTGTAAAGCTCAGTTCTCCTCAATAATTAAAAAGTTTTTGGCAAAATACCAACTCAGGAGTGACTATAAAATGCACAAACTGTCAACCAGTGTCTATTTTCCTCTCCTCATAGATAACGGATATCTGGAAATATGATATGTGATGCCAATACTAAAATGTCTTGTGAGATCTAAAACTATGTCTGAGTAGCTTCTAGTTGTGTCTGGGCATTAATAAAACTTAGCTAAAATGTTGTTTTTACCTGACATTTCCATTGTTTTGATATCTAAGTTTATGCTAATGATTTCTAGTAATATACACTAGCACTGGTGAAGAATACAGATGTTTTTTCTGAAGTATTTACAGCCAACAGCCCTTAACCTAAAAAAATTACTTAACAGGATGCATGAATCGCGTCAAGTTAATGTCTGCATGCTTCATTTTCTTAATTTACATAACAAGTTTAGTTCACCTCCTATTCCCGCACCATCTCCTGTTAAGAGTTCCTTTTCCCTGACCTGCCCTTTAATACATACACAGGGTTTGGCAGCAGTCCCCAGTCTCTTGGATCTTAAAGACTGTCACCATGTAGTTCCGGATGCCTTTGTGTTCCAGGGCTAAAAGTGTTAACACCTTGATGTCCACGCGCTTCAGGAGGGTATCTGTGGACTTTGATACTCCTTGTTGTCTGCAGTGTATGTTACCCATCAAGTCCTCAAAAGTAATTTAAACTCATGAGTGCAATTTATTAATAGTCCCTGGTTTTGTCCCCAGCCTGAGTTTACAATAGAGAGCAAATATAAATGTTCTTTGCACTTACCAAGCTTTCAGACTAATGAAAAAAAAAAAACCAAAAAACAAACAAACCTGAAAAAACTTTAAAACTGAGGTTATTTGGAGGGAGACAGTGGTAATTCAACAACTTGGCTCTAAGCTCAGACACATCTTTTGCCATTTGTCTCATTGCTCATCCCATATGTACTTTAAGCAACCACTACGATTTTTTCAACTTTATGTGAAGTACTAAACTTCAAAACTTTAATCCTCCTCAGTCAACAGAGCTTTTAATATGCTAATATATGTAGGGTTTCTCACAGATGACAATGATAGTAACCACATGTAACATTTGTAGAGCGTTAACCACTGCTAGCACAATGCTTTACATGGATCATCTCAGAATACTGTAATTATCTTCACTATACAGAGAATACGAGTGAATTTGCCTCAAAGAGCACAATTACTTAGTAAATGAGGACTGAAACTCAGGTCTGCCTGATGCTGCAGTCAGCTCTTTTAATGTTCAAATTGTAATTTCTCTAAAGGATATAATTATAAAGTATTTTTCAAGTTATTTAATAACAGAATTCTAAATAAGGAGCACCAATTAGCACTTACTGAAAATAATATTCTCTCAATAGTTTGAGAAATACTAGTTTAGTTTCAGTGCTAAAATTTTTAAAATATGACATTAAAATACAACACAACCGCATATACAGTAATTGTAAACATAAAACATTTACCAATAGAAAAAAGGCACAAGAAAAGAGTGTACCAAATGTGTAAATTGTGTTTGGTGAGTCAACAGCTTTCCCTTTTTTCTTTTCAAAATTAAAGTTATGACTGTAGTAAACATATTTAGATGAAAGCTTTTGAAAAGTATTATCTGAATGAATCTGTCCTATGATATTATGATTTCCATCAAACCTAAACTGCTATTAATGGGGACCTTTAGCGTCTGATACCGAATGCATGAAATTAGAGTACTTCTGAATCACTAATACATACTCACGAGAGTAATGCTGGAATCAGCTTTCTATAACTTTGCTTCCTCTTAGCTTTCTCCTCAGCAGTCCTACCATCTCATCTAAGTCATCTCTGGTTTCTTTTAAAAAGCAAAGCCCTTATTCCAGTGACCAACATTAGAAATCAAACACAAACAATCATCTAATGCCTTGACATTTTTTAAGTGCAGATTCTTGTATTTCCTTTATAGCACAGGAGCTACACAAAAACCTGGCAGTGTCCCTCTACCTTTCAAAACCTCTGATGGCACTGTTTCAGAATTGCAGTTATATCAAAACTTATGTTCTTTTTAGACACTGTAAACACTATATATCATCAAAGCCAAGATGCTATCACTTATAAAATGGCTGCATTTATAAGATGCCTGTTAAGTTTAGGGATAAATGCCAAAATGTCTCACACTGAAAAAGCCTCTTTACTATATTGTTGAGCAATGTGGCATCTTTAGAATTAGGTTAAAATTAAGCTATAACTAAAACGTGTGACAAAAGTCACAATTTAAAGAAAGTTAAATTTAACAAATATATACTGAGAACACTATATCCGAGATACACAACATACAGTATATAGCAGCAACTACCATTAATTCATGTCTTTCATCAACCTTTGCCAAATTCTACAGAAGGAAGACCTAAAACCACTTTTTATGAAGGTTCATATAGCTTTCTTTACCTTTACTGATGAGGTCACAGGGTCCTGGGGAGTTTAAACATAAAGGACAGCTATGAGGGAAGGGCGTGGCCACAGAGCAGATAGCTACGGAGGACAATGCACAGAACTGTGACCATTAACACACAAACTTTCTTTCCTAGTGAAATGTATTCATTAAAAATAGGTAAATGCAAGCCTGCTATGATCTTCTTACCTCACAGCTGGCCTGTCTTTTATCCGGTTCAGATTATACTTAATAGGGCTTAATCATTAATTCACCACCATCTTGCCCCATTTCTTATCCAGGAACACAGCTAATAATAGTATTATTTTAATGGACTAGGCCCATTACACACGTGGCCATTTAATCTTTATAGCCTTGTAAGATATTTCCATTTGAGACATACTCAGAGAAAGTATGTGGTCTCCCTAAATCCACTCAAGTAAATGACAAAACCATGATTTGAACTTGTTTGTACCTCTGAAACTCATACCACAATTCATTTTTTAAAAGTGTCTCCTCAAGCCCAATTAAAGATAATTAAACTTTCACCCAAAATAGGGCTGGGGGTGTGGCGCTGTGCCTGGCAAGCACAAGGTCCTGAGTTCAATTCTTGATGGGGGGCAGGTGACTTTCATCCAAAAGACTCTTGCATAAGAAATGCAGCAAGAATATGACTTGTTATTTCTAACCACCTACCGTGAACCCACTATTTTCCCTATGGATTGAAGCAAAAACCTCCTAGGTGGTCCTTCCTCCATTCCACTGTTCTCACTCTGTAAGTGACTCTTTTAAAAGGAAATCAGATCGTATCACTCCACTGACCAAAACCTTCCAACAGGTTCCAGTTTCCTGTAGGATAAAAGGTAGATGCACTCAAGGCCCTTGATGACCTGTTCCTATTCGCCTTGACTTTATCTCCAGCTTTATCCTCTCGCTCATCGCTGATGCAGACTTCCTTGCTGTTAGGCTTCTGTTTCATGGCTTTGCATAGGCTGTCACCCCTGCCTGCCCGAATGCACTTCCCTGAGATATCTGCATGGTTTAATTCTCTCACCTCTGTCACCTCCGAGACAGTCATATGTCTATGAGACATTCTCTGGACACACTAAAACTCAAACTACGCCCTTCTTCCCTGCTCTTCAGCACTCACCATGACCCAAAATAGTGTGTTTTACTTTGTTCAATTTGTCCTTTCCTTAATAAGATGTGAGGTAGGCGACTTGAGCAGGGAGTTTTGTCTGTTTTATTCATTCATTGCTGTTTCTAATCTGTTCATTGGCTTTCATCTAGTGCCTAAAACGGTGTCTGTAGTGCCGGGGACCCGTAATAACTACTGGCCAAATCAAGGACTTCCTGTCCCCATCCTCTCTCCCACAAACATCCAAGCCCTTCGACACACGCTCATGTAAAAGTAAAGATGTTTATGAATCTATTTTTTCAGCAATATCTTTTCCCTTGGCTCTGCCTCGAAAGCTCAAACTTAGTTCGCTGAAAAGGTCCCAAGTTCTTGGCTAATTTCTTATGCCTGTGTGGGTGCTACTGCGATCAGGCTTCCCACTAGCACCCGCATGGCAGGTCTTCTCTCTTGGAGGAGAATATAGGAAAAGAGGGACTGCAGCGATGGCAATCTGCCCAGCCCAGACCTTCCGAGAAATCACTCACATGAAGCTTCGTACGGGGCTCCAGGAAAGGAAGAGACACCGTCCCGCACAGGCTGGAATCGAGAAAGGACCCACGCTGGGTGTCCCCGCTGAACGCCTGAGTATTTCACAAATTCAAACCCGCATTCTGTCGTTCCCTTTCTGCGTCTAGTGCTATTCACTCTGGGTCTTCCGTTCCTCCATCCAATATCACCAGCTCTCCTCACATTCTCCCTCCCTTGCTACATCTGTTCGTTATTTGAGGCAGGCGCCCGGCGGCCGGAAGTTGGGGTCCTTTCTCAATCTTGCGTCGCGCGCCTGTGAGGTCAGAGTAGGGGCCCGCTGGTGTGTGGAGGAGGAAGAGAAGGCTGTCAGCTGTCAGTGGGCAGTTCCAGGCTCGCCTTCCGGACAGGTTCTGAGTAGCGGACCTCGGCCGTCTTGGCTCGCCAGCGGAGGCCCGTCTCTGAGCTCCCGGTGCCCCAGCAGCGACCTGTATTGTGGAAGCCCCTGAAATGCAGAGCTGGGTGCATTAAGCCGGAGCATCAGAACCAGCCGCAGCAGGAGCCACAGCGTTGGGACCCGAGTGGGCGCTCCTTCACCTTGCCTCTGTGCCCGCCTGCGCCCCCAGACCCGGAGGCAGGTATTCGGGTGTCCTTCTGCTGTGTGTCGTCGTAGCAGGGGCTGGTGGGTGGCACAAGAGTGTCCGCTGCGAGAGATGGCGCGAGCTGTAGAGCTTTCTGCTGGGCACCATCTCCGTCTTTCGCTATAGCCCCCTTCCTTCTCAGTCGCAAGTGTTTGCGACACCGCAGGCAGCTCTCGAGAGTAGCCACCGCAAACCACTTCGAAGGGAGAATATGAACGCCTCCCTTCCATTACGTACCAAAAGATACGGACGTTTGCTCTTTCATGTTTCAGATTTTCAGGGTGTGCTCTCTCAAACAGCAGGAGAAGGTGAAGCAGCGGGAAAGGGTGAACTGAAAGTTGCCAATGACTGCTTTTTAAAGCCTCGTGTCCCCGTAAAGCCTCGTATCCCTGTTTCTCTATTTGAGACGGATAATTTTGAATGTAGGTGTATGACATATACGGATTATGTAATTCCATTTGCCCATTGAGTACATGCGAATAGTATTTTGTGATGAAATCAACGTATTTTCCCTAACCCTAACGTTAATATTCACTCTTTCTTTTGAGTTGTTCAAAGCCAAGTTCTTTTAGGGCAGACTGTGCCTTGTTCACTGAGAGATTGTGTCTTGTTCACTATCCTTGGGCTAACATCTGGGAAAAAAATTTTAGGGCTTTCAAAATGTTTGTTGAATAAGTTGTCAGACCCAAACACTTATGTTGTTTTCCTTTTGTAACCTGTCACCTCAGTAGGTTTTTTTCAACTGAAAATCTCATGGTACTTTGTAGTAAGATTGACTAATGTAATAGCTGTGCGTCTCACCCTTTCTACTCTTAGCCTGTTCTTCAGAGATAAATATCTTTTACCTTTTCTGATTCTAGGTTTTTTTGACAAATTAAAATGCTGATTCTTTTCCTATTGATGTCTTAGAATAGTGTACTCACAGGTTGTGTCATAGCCATAATTTTGGAATCATTATCACAAATTTTACTTTGAGTATTTGCTACTTTAGTATATTTTTTTCACACAAAGTTTTAAAAATGAGAAAAGTAGTGACTCGGTTTATCAAGGAAAAACCCATATTCACCTGTGTTACTGAATCTGTAGGTACTCTTCCTATGTTATACTGTTTGCAAATGACCAGACAGTTCTGAGAGGAAGAAGGAGATTTTATTCAGCGGCTAATGAACAGACATGGGGAGCTTTCTCTATAGGCACATTCTCCAGCAGCACTGGGGTCTGCATTTTTATAACTCTGGATCATGAGGTGGTATGTATGGCAAGCATGCTGTCATCAGAGCTTTCACAGGGAAGGATGGAGATTTCTAGGAGTCAGAGTACCATTCTCTCTCTTTCCTAATTTAGGCATGTTCAAATGTGACATAGTATGACAGGTGTGTTTTTTTATTAATCTAAAAAGATTATAATGAGTCAAAATTCTCCTGGAGTGTCAACATGGTGTCACAACGAGATGGAGCAAATCTCGAATTTACCTTAATGGTTGGCAGTTGGAAGCACATGATCATCCACCTTTAACGTTCAATCGAGCAACACCTGTGAACAACTAGAGCCGATAGCACAACCGGCTGTCAGTAGTTACAGGGTTTAGTCTGGTAACACCTGTGGTTTCCCTCAGCTGGGCCTTTACATGTATATTGCCAAGTTTAATATTTATATTTTATTTCTTAACCATATCTTTTCTTTAAGGGGCTAAAAGCCAATCAAGTGTTTATTTTATTTGTCTTTATAATGGTTCATTAGTGCAGAGCCAAGCAGCATGCTAGAATACATTTTCTTCTCAATATTTTTATTTCATGATCGCTACCCTTACGTAAGAAGCATTATTGTAGTATTAAAGTCAAGCTGATTTTTTCTTCCCTGCCAATGGCTAACCATGCCATAGCACATGTACTTTGTTTTGTAGATTATATACTTAGATTTTTACCCTCCTCACTTTTTTCTTTAACTCACCTCACTTTATTAGTTTTTTGCTTTCTGCATGAAGTCTTCTTATTCTTTGTTACAACACATGCGGACGTTTCCGTTCCATTCCTTTGCTTGAAGGCATTTGCCCTCAGAGCAGAGCAGCTCTTTGTCTAATCTGAACAAAATTGCATTCTAGTTTTTGGATAGCTTCTATCCTGGGTTTGTATTTATTGAACTTTTGAGTAAATTACATTTTTTCTTAACCCCACATCTTTTTATTATTTCCCCTCCTCTGTTTTGCTAAAATATATCCTAAAGAGATTTGCTTTCAAAAGGTATGTGGATGATAATTTTGTTTTAAAGATTTTCTTGGCTATAAATTGCTGTTTGTTATTATAATTGCTTGGCCACATCTAGAATCAAAATTATGTTCCTTCAAATATTTTAAGGATTTACTTTTTAAAAAAACTTCCATTCTTGCTGATGAGAAGGTAACCATTTCTCTGAAATGATTACAAATTTCTGGATTTTTATCCAGTTATTCTGGATACTGTAAAAATTTATGGTGATCTATTTATTTGTGTTTATTCTCTTGGCAATGAATTCATTCAAAGGAGCTAAGATATATATCCCAATGGGCATCATTTTTCATTTATGCTTCTTGAAATTACAAACCTTTTAAACTTACCCTTAATCTATGGGGAATTTTCTTTTAATGTCTTTTGTAATTTTTTCTCCTTTAGTTCTATTTTTTGAAACTCTACTAGAGTGGTTTGATTTGTGGCTTGATACATACATGTTTTCTTTTTTCTTATACTTTAATCTGTTTGCTTTTTTGCTGCATGTTCTGAGCCATTGTTTGAACTTTGTTTTCCAGTGTTTTTATGTATTTTGGTAGTTATATAATTTCCACTCATTTTTGTCTTTTTTTCTTACAGTCTTAATATTTATGAGATGAAATTTACACATATTTTAAATGCATTGACTTTAAATGACAGTGCCATAAATTTTAATGTCTATATTTACACTTTAGCACCACTCTAATCAATATACAGGAATTTTTCACTATTATAAAAATTTTATCTACCCACTCAATTCCTTCTTCACCACTCTGAGTATTACCTTCTGATTTCTATCACTACATCTAGACCTATAGTTCTGGAATATGTTTAAAGGAGCCATATAATATTTACTCTTAGATCTGCTTCTTTAACATAATGTTTTGAGATGTATTCGTGCTTTGGCATATTCCTTTTTTGTTGTTGGATAGCATGGCATGGTATTGGTATGCCGAAAGATATTTATCCATTCTGTCACTCAGTTCTCAACTGTGTATCATTTGTGTTACCTCGATTTTTTAACTACTAATAGGAGAGCAGCAGAAACTTCTAGACACACATCAAAGGGAATTCATATAAGAAAGACCAGGGCAATATTTGTTCCTAATATCCCCAACCTGGAGACAACTTAAATGTCCAATAACGTTTTCATTGACAAATATTTCATTTTCTTGTGTGAATGCCTTATAGAAGTTAGGGATATTTTTGACCTTAGAAAAGTTTTTCAAGGTTCCTGTTCCCTTTAATATTCCCATGAGCATTATGTCAAAGCGCCAGTTCCACATTCTCTTCAATATTTGCTATTGCCAGTCATTTTAATTTTGGCTCCTCTGGCAAATGTGAAAAGCATCTTGCAATAGTTTTAATTTGCATTTTTCTGATCTTATATGAATAACCTTATGTATATAAGTAGGAGTTTCTCTGAGAATAGCGAGATAGTGCTAAATTTTTAAATCAATTGTACCAATTTATATTCCCACTTACAGCACATGTGTGGTCCAATTTCTTAATTCTTAAAATTTCTTTTTATCTTAGTTTTTACTAGCTAGTGCATATAAATTCTCATGTGGTTTTAATGAGCAATTCTTTTATTGAAATTATTTTTCTTCTCATGTATCTGTTGATCATTTTAATTCTCTGTGAAATATTTTTCTGTAACCTTCTGTTCTATACAGTGATATATTTTCTCACATCTCTCTAAACATAAGTTGGGTCTTTCAAAAATTATTTAAAGCTTCTCCAAAGCCAGAATTTGGAGCATTTATTCTTTAAGCTTTGTAGTGTAGTTTCTCCTTAATTATCTGGTGATCCTCCGACAGTTCATTATTTGAGAGTTAAGGAAGGCTATCTGAGAGCTTTATGCGTGTGGAAATCCTGTTAACTGGCATGCTTGTTTTAGGGTGACTACGCAGTCAGCCCAAACTTACTGTGGTACTGCAAATTAAAGAAGTAAGAGGAGCTCCCCCCGGCCCACCACCACCACCAGGGCAGTTACTATAATTTTCAAACAAAACATTTTTTTGTTGTTGTTGCTTGAAGGGTAATTATTGTCCACACTGAGGTGGCAAAGCTGACTCTTGTAATTTGCTATTTCTCATATGAGTACCCTTATATAAGCATTCTGCTTTATAGTAGTTTGCATCAGCTTTGAAGTCTTGCATTATCTTAATAGGTTATCCAAACTTTAGGTTATGAGTAGTGCTTTTTTATATGAAAGTGCAAAAATACACTTGCTCTGCTCTTAAAACTTTTAGGCATCACTGAAGATAAAATATTTTAATGTTCCCTTTTTATACTGTTGAAAATCTTTGAATTTGACTTACAGCTCGCTCTCTCTCTCTCTCTCTATATATATATATATATACACACACACATATATATATATATATACTCACACACACATTTATGTTTGGGTGTTATCTCTGTTACTATCTTGAAATTCTAAAACTTTCATATTTTTACTGTAAAATGTTCAGATTGGCATAATCTTCCAAGTTTATAATAAAATCTAAGGTGAGAAAATGCTGCCTTAATGTTTGATTAATCTGTCGTAACATTCTCCCTGTTTCCAGATCATCTTGAAGGATTCAGGACTCCACAAATGTTTCCCTTGAAGGATGCTGAAATGGGGGCCTTTACCTTCTTTGCCTCAGCTCTGCCGCATGATGTTTGTGGAAGCAATGGCCTTCCTCTCACCCCAAATTCCATCAAAATTTTAGGGCGCTTTCAAATACTAAAGACAATAACCCATCCCAGACTCTGCCAGTACGTGGATATATCTAGGGGAAAGCATGGTGAGTTGTGTTTGCTTTTTGTGATTTTGTTGTTGTTGTTGTTGCTGTTTGCTTGTTTTTCCTATTTTGTGTTCTCTACTTTGTCACCAAGATTCAATTTTAAATATACACTAAAAAAAAAGGAAATTGGTGTGTATGTAGGCTTTCTTTTTATGTTTGAAAATAGTTTTGGCTAACTGTTCAAATGAAAAGTCACTAGTTTTTAATAGCATGAGTCTTTTCATGTAGGATTATATTTAGTGAACTGAAGTAGAAAAGTTCAGCTTCGTTTGTTAAAAAGTCAGTGTTGCACTGCAAAAATGTTGATTGTGTTTTTAGTAGTATAATTAGGTTGCTTATGGTGATGATACTTTTAATTGTTTTCAAATTATTTTTGAAAGCTTAAGTGTAGGCCAAGATTCCATATTTTAAAATTATGTTAAATGGATTTCAGTGAAATCAGTCTAACTTTTTCAAATAAGATAATCTGGAGATATTAAAAAACATGTTAAAGCAAACTATGTACTTGCTGATACTCAACTTTTTTCCCATAAAATACCAATTTCCTGTGTTTTAACGTACTATTAAAGACTCTCATAAATGCAAACTTAGTTGTTTTCTGAAAAGTAGGTTAAACTATACTTTGAAGTTGGCTGGATATTTCCGTGACAAGTATTTGTTCTGAGAATGTGTTTTATGGAAAATGTTTTTTGTAATGATATTAATACCTAATGTTTGTGTATTATGTATCAGGAAATATTTTAATGTTTTATACAGATTTTAACTAGAAATTCTTATAACTTTACTACAAGATAGAAACTTACATTTTCATTTTGCAGATAAAAAATTTGAGGCATACAGCAAGGTCATACAAAGGAAAATGATGAAAGATGTAATAGTAATCCATAGTAATCTAAAGAATCATGCATTTTATTTTCTGTTGAAAGATTATAAAAGTTGCTATAAGTTTATAGTAATACAAATATCAACAGCAATTGATCGTTTTTGTTGCTTTAAATACTTTAGAGCTATAGAATACACTTGGCACCCTGAATGTTTAGGTAGTGTCAGAAACAGAGGGAGACATAAGAGAGTGATAAAAGGAAATAATTGTCTAGCAGATAAAAGTATTTGATTTTTATGTTCTTATATATACACATATATTATGCATGCCTACTTAGATTTCTTATACACATATGAATATATGCTTGTGAATTATAACATATATGAATATATACACATATTAAAGTATTTATGATTGCACTTTGGCCCTTTTTCTGTGCAAAACTGTATTTAATTAGTTAATTCGGCAAATATATTTATACTTACATACTTGGCCTGACCTTCCAAGAGAGGACATGAATAACACCATATTGAGGCCTCAAGGATCTTTTTTGATAGGGAATAAATTTGAAGGGCAGAACTGATAGAAAACAGAGTTTGAAACTAAAGTTACAAAGATGTTGGTGAGATGAAGATTATTTTTTCCAGTACCAGGGATTAAACTCAGGACCTTGTGCTTGCAAGGCGAGCATGTCACCAGTGAGCTAAATCTCCAGCCCTGAGATGAAGAGTTTTTAGGAACTACTTTTTCTTATGCATTGAAACATTTCTTATATTCTGCTCTGGCATACAGAACTCTGCTAAAGTATAATGATTGAATATACTCTTACTTGATTCTGTAGCCCTCCTTGAACAAGTTCCACATATTTGAAGATGAGTAAGTCAGGATCCCATTTTTCAAGTAAACCCCAGAAATAACAGAGATGAATAAAGCCATGATTATAGTACAGTGATAATTATATGGTAGGTGATATACAGTGTCCTATGTGCAAGAGTTCAAAAGAGAAAATGTTAAATTCTGCATTGAACAGTGCTGATATTCCCATCTAAAAATTTTGGTGGGATTAGGATTGTAGAACAGTGGGGTATTTCTCTTTGTGAAACTTTATTTCAATGGTACTGCTGGCCTAAAAGGATTACTGGAGTTTTCATTCTAGACTTTTATCATTGACACACTCATAAGAAACAAAATTTTAATCTTATTCATTATCTCTTATTTCAAGAGAAGTTCTCATCTCTTTAATTATTATAATCTTTTTTCCAAAAAGAATCTGAGACAAATTGCAGGCATCCATGTAATACTCAATACCAGTTGGAAAGCCTTCTTTATTCAAAAGTCTAGAACCCAAAATGCATTGACAATCAAAAGCCTTGGGACTTAGGAGCACTTTGGATTTCATATTTTTGGAGTAGGGATCTTCAGTTTATAAAGTCTGTGCACTTACTGTGAAATGAAAACACTGAGAAATTTGAAATACTCTCGTCTCAGGAACTTTGGGTAGGAAATTACCTTATACATATAGTACATGAGAGGAAAATGTGTAATCAAAATGTAGTAGTAGGAGAATAAAAAATTCTTCCTTTACTCACTTTTGTTTAGTAGCTAGAGTCCATGAATCAAACTGATAAAAGACAGGTCAACAAGAGAAAAAATTCAGTCATTTATGAATGCAGGGGAGTTCACAAAAATGTAACTCAAAGAGTCAGTTAAAATTCTAGGTGAAGTGGGCCAGGGATTAAAAAAAAAATTGAAGGTGAACTACCACATTACCAAAGAGTGATGAAGTGCCCCAAAAGGTGTTTGGGCTTCTGGGGAGGGAGTAAGTTGGTACAAGATGGCTATGAAATGTATGGTAAAAATTATTTAGTAAGGTTTTCCATGTAAGTAAAAGTAATTCTTCTTTTTATGATTTGGAGAGGGAATGCTTTTACAAATGGAAATTTTGGTCACCTTTAGGGAACTTTATGTGTACATAATTTTTGAATAGAAAAGGGGCGACAGCTAATTTCCTTGAGCACAAAATCTTTACACCAACTGGTGTATTTTAGGGTGGCATACTCTGATCCCCTTTATGAAGAAAACAAAGTAAATAGATGGTAAAAGATGACTAATATTAATTTATAATTTTTTTCAGGTAGACTATGTATTCCTTTGTAAACTTCAATAGGTCAAGGCAAAGAAGGAAATCCAGGTGATTCAATTACTTTTATAATTAGGCAATATACTGAGAAATTAATTGCTAGATAGTAAATGTGGAAAAATGATCAATTGCCAGTTTTATAATGTTCATACAATCTGTTGTCCAGGTGACATGGAAACCTTGGTGGAGAAACTTCCGGATGAGGCTCTGAGATATCCTGTGTGTGTTTTTAGGAGCATGTTCTCAACACATCTGGCTGTTTGCTCTATTGTTCCTTTCAGTGTTGATCTCTGAGCTCAAGATTCTCTGGCTTATTGTCCCAAATTTTCTGTGAATAAATATTAAGGAAATTTGACACTTTGGAATAGCAGTACTTAATTCAATAGCCACAGGGGTCTATGATAAGGTTTTAAAAGGTCTTTGACACCCTCCTAAAATTTCAAATGGTGTGTGTTTGTGTAGATGTGTGCACATGCATTGTTTTGATGACAAATTTATAATTTTTATAAAGAATTCCTGATTTAAAGAAAGTTTTAAAGCAATGGTATAGCATATCATAGATATGGAAAGATTATCTTCTTTTCATAAAGGCAAACTTGAGACATTCTGATGTAGGATTCTGACTTTCCAAAGTTGACCTGGCCTGTGCCTAGTGTGGTAGCATAGCACATCTTTACTAATGGCGAGGTCCCGATCAGGGCTACTCTATATGAGTTTGTTATTTTCACAGTGCATACAAGTGTCAGGCCAGTGGAGCAGTTGGGAGCTCGAATCCAGTTCTCTTGTCACCCTGAAAGAGTGCTTTCTCTAATTTACTTAAAGACAATTGTAAAGACTAGTGGAAACTGTCCCTACGGTAGACTGCAAATAGCTTCAGCCATTTGTCAAAAGCCCAGTAAAGAACTTTTGGCAAGATTTTTGTTTAAAAAAATAACTTTTTGTCCAGATGTGGTGGTACACACCCATAATGCCAGCTGGTTAGGAGGCTGAGGCAGAAGGATTGCAAGTTCAATGTCAGCCTGGGCAACTTGGCAAGACCCTGTCTCAAAAGTTAAAAATAGAAAGGGCTGCAGGTGCAGCTCAGTGATAGAGCACTTGCCTAGTGTGTTAGAGGTCCTGGGTTCAATTCCCGGTACTGAAAAAAACTGACTTTTTGCTAAAGCTATGTGTTTGTCCCATTATTTTAAGTAGACATTTAGAAATTATGGGGAACATTTATAGACTTATACATCATGTAACAATTACTAGGTAAATAATAGATATTATCAGTGCCCACATGCTCAATAGTTTTCCCACTGCTTGCCCCCAATCCAGTTATAGATTGTAAAGAATTTCCACTTGCAAGACTGGCCCAGTTCCCAAACTGTCCAAAGCTTGGCAGTATAGTTGATTATTGTTATTACCCCGGCTGGTGACCACATTTAGTCTTGCTTATTTCCTTGCGCAGATCTGGAGTAGACCTGTCTTCTCAAGCTCTGGCAACTCTGTTTAGTTCCTCAGATTTCATTCCTAAGTGTGCTCCATTTCTCTCCACTGTGGTATCTGTAAGCCTTTTGGGGGCTTCACTTGCTGTAATTGGGGTATTGCCTCTGACGGGTTTTTCCTTTACCTCCTTCTCTCAGGATAATTCCTTCATTAGTCCCAAGTATTTCTTGAGCTCCTCCTATTCCTTTCTTTAGTTAAGTGAGCCCCTGTAAACACCGAAGTAGGTACTGTCTTACAGCAGATTCCCCTCTAAAGGGCACTTTCTGTAACTTCACTTATGAACCTTCTGGTTGATTGTCAATGTCAGAAATGATAACTGAACTCAGTGGGTTCATATCTTGGTGATTGCAAAGCCAAAAAGCACAACGAGGAGTTAAGATACTGGAGAAAGATGACCCACATCAAGTAAGGAGAGCAATGGGGTTGCTACTTGCAAGCAGTGAATGCTTTCCCCAGGGACAAGAAGCACTGGCATTTTATTCGGGGAGCCTGTGGAGTTCATATAGGGAAGCTCATGTAGTGGTCGGCACATTTCTCAGCATGCTGTTTGTG